AAGACATCAGTGAGCAATTGCCAGCCGTTGCCTTGAGGGTTGGACTGTGCAAACGTTTTCCACCAGAGCTGGAAACAACGAAGAACCTGGGCATGCTTCGTGTTTTGTTCACAATCTGAAATTCTGGCGGCATCAGCCTTGGGAGCCTGTGCCAGCTGTCATTTCTGCCCTCACTTTTAAGTATCTTTGGTGCACTCTATTGGATTATCAGAAATAAATAATTCCTCAGGGTTTTCAGTCAAAAACCTCAGATGAGTCTCAGTAGTTTGGACCATCTCTTCACTAGGTATTTTAGGTTTGAAATGCAAATTAAGAAGTCACTTGAAACAGGTGAGAGAGATTCTCGTCAGCCTTGAAAAAGCAAAATCCTTCTAGCAGGTTTCTAAAAAACCTTTTAAACTTATTGTTAGAATAACACAGTCTTATTCCTTCCTGGCTCCCAGCAAAACATTGCTCATCTTTTTATTTTTTTTTCCTGGAAAACTTCGATATTGTGTCACAATTTACGATGTTAATTAGTACCACTTCCAGATCTTAGAAGGTGAATCAAAAAAGCAATTTATTCTGGGAAGCCAGGAGGGACCGTGGGGGTCAGAATGGCACCTCTGTGACCAGACTGTGTGTCTGGGCATTGATGGGTATGACCAGGGGCTCTCAAGGCATGAGAAGAGCAGCAGTAAATCTGGATGCTCCTACAGCAATGAACCTTTCTGCTGTTTCTGCCTCCTCGTCTCTCTCCCACTCGCTGCAGGTTCTGTACAGGTGGAACAGGCAGAGCAGCGCCTCTGTGATCGAAACCAACAAGACCTCGGTGGAGCTCTCCCTGCCCTTCGACGAGGACTACATCATAGAGATAAAGCCCTTCAGCGACGGGGGCGACGGCAGCAGCAGCGAGCAAATCCGAATCCCAAAGATCTCAAGTAAGGCCGGGGAGCGGGGTACATCAGCCAGAGCCCCAGCCCCTCTGCTCTGTGATGGGTCAGCTCTTCATTAGTAGCAGTTTTAATAGGTTTTAATTTAGCTTTGCATCACCCTAGGGAGCAGCTGCAACCGCCAGCGGGGCTGAGCCAGGGTAGGCATTGGCTTGAGCACTGGCCTCTTGGGGAGCTAAAATCAGCCGACATTCGAGCCCAAATTCCTGGTTTCATCCCGAGCAAAGATTAAGCCATGAGAAACGCCACCACAAGTGGTTATATTCGTATTTAAGATTTCTAGACACTTTCTGCTCTCCTACTTCCATGCTCGTATATACTGAATATATTGTTTCACTGCAATTCACTATAACAAAATATAAAATGCGGTGTTCAGAGGCTTTTAAATTTATAAGGCTACTGTATAGCAATATTCCATTGTGTGTTGGATGCATAAATATTTATTTAGGGAAATGAGGTTGTGTAGAAGAACAAACAGAAAAGAGAGTATTTTATTACTCAACATTGCTTTTGCAAAATCTCCGTGTCCCATCTTCCATTAATAACACCGCAGTTTATAAGCTGCATTAAATCAGAAGCCTCTGCAATGCAGGAATATGGCATTAAAATTACAGCAATGTAAAAAACTCTGGGCGAGATCAGAATTATCTCCACCAGGCTGTGTGCTGTAGCCATATAAACCATACAGAAGGATTTCATGGGCAGACACAGGAGAGCGAAGGAAGATGCCAGTTCCTATTTGGCTCCACACAGGAGTATCCATGTAGCTCCTTCAGGCCATGGATCGGGCCGGGCTGGTGCCATAAAGAACAGCTTGAATATAGTATAGCTGGAAAAATAAATGTAAAGAAGAAATTAAAGAATAAGAGGCCATGAAGCAATATAATGTGAGTGTAGCCTCAGCGCCAGATCGGTGAGAATTGAATGAAAAGCAGGCGTTCAGCTGGAGAGGTGCAGGCCTCCGGGCAGGGGTCGGACCCTTTGCTGCTATCACCAGCGGAGGGCACAGAGCTACCCGGTGGGGAGAGGGTGGGTGTGTAAGGGCTGCTCTCGGCGCTGGTGGCTCATCTTCCCCCTCTCTCCTTTGCTCAGATGCGTATGCGAGAGGATCCGGTTCTTCAACCTCCAACGCCTGTACACTGTCAGCCATCAGCACGATAATGATCTCGCTCACAGCTCGATCCAGTTTATGACAAAAATTACATAAAGGACTTCTTGTTTATAATATAAGCAACATTTAGCTAGTTGTTTCGAAGACACCCAGTACTAAGTAATATTGTGGTTTGAGTACATCTTACTACTGGAAAAATGTTTATGCTTCTTTAGGAATGGCATTATACAGTACTTCCTCAAAGCAAATATAGCTTTGTCTGAAGTTTCCTTGGAAACTCTGCAATGCACTGAAAACATCTGTAATATGATGTTACCAAAGCAGTTTACATATGTCCTTATATGCATATTTTTTATTATATATTTAGTGTTTTATAGAATTTTTTAAAGTTAACATATGATGTAGATATTAATTTTTCCTCTGCTATAAAATGCTATGGACAACATTATCATGAAAATATTGTTTGAATTTTTTCCTTTATGACCGAGAGTTCAAAGTTGTTCTTAGTAAATTGGCTGCAACTTTCCTGTACAGTTTTACAAGGCTACGCAAGGCAGAACTGCTTCAGATCGGGTTCACAATGCAGCTGCATTTAAGGGCAGTTACGATGATTCTTGTGTTAAATCAAGTGCTTCTAACACACGCGATTTTACATTTTATTCGGAGGACTAAGCGAGACAAACTCCAAAGGCTCAGAAAGAACACTATAATCTTGAAAAACCACACAGCTTCTGGTTATTTGCGGACTACAGGACATGTAGCTGATATTCTGGCATCATGCAGTAAGGTTCCATTTTTACCGTCTTGAAATAGCTTTGGCTTTATCATGATTAGCATTAAATCAGGTAGGGACTAAGGTAGTGCAGAGACATCACCTCTGCCTCTGCTGACACCGAGGGGCAGGCAGCAGCAGAAGGAGCCAGGAACTGAGGGCCCCTGGCGCGAGCCCTACTCAGCCCACGTCGCTGCTCTGCCCGTTGCACCAAGGACGTCAGGGTACAGCGGCTCTGACACCAGGCTTGCCGGCGCTCACTCCCCACGTGTGCTTTCCCATAACTCATCATTCTTCCCAAGTCCACCACAGAAAACGTTCAGACCCTGGCCGGGACCTGGCCGCACGGGGCTCCCCCCGGCCTGCAGGGTGGCCGCGGTTCTGCAGGAGCTCTTCGGAGAGACCTGGAGGCGTCACGGAGGCACGCCGGAAAAAGAGGATATCCACAGCAAAATCATTCTTCTTAAGAGAAGGACTGTTTGTTACTACGGGGTAATTTTGTAAGTTCACTCAGATGGGATAATGCTAGTACAAGGCAATGGAATTTTCTATAAAATTTTCAAGTTTAAATGCGCTGCAGTGGTTTATTATTATTTTTTCCTGATAGCTTGAATTTGCCTGTAACTTGTCTTTTTTGCTTACAAAATAATACAGTTAACTTTTAGACCTTCTAAATATATTTATTCAGTAACGCATAATCAGGATTCCACTTGTGTAAAAGTCAGGGGTGTTGACCAGAGAAATATTGTCAGTATTTCAAGCTGTGTTCCTTTCTTAGTTTGATATGGTTACTTCTATGTAAAAAAAAATAAAAACGACAAAAAAAAAAACACAAAACCAAAAAAAATGGAACAACAAAAAAAAAAAAAAGCTTCTGTAGTTTTCTCCCCGGTGTAAATGATATTTATCAGTGATCTAGCAGATGTAATCTTTTTTTAAAGGTATTGGTAATAAATATTCTGTCATTTGTAAAGATACCTGTCTGCAAGGAGCGTTTGTCCTCCATGCTTCGTTGCACCTGGTGATAAGTTTTTTAAGGGTGAGACATCAGGTAAGATATCACTTTTCCCATTGTCTTGGTGGATTTTTGCAACTTTTTGCAATTCTAGTGCTGATTTTTAGGTGTGGCAGCGCAGAGAAGCCCTGTGATCCGAGTCACTCTGCTGACTCTACCCGGGGGTTGTGCTGAGGGTGCCAGGCCACCTGGCACTCAACCTTGCTGCTTGGCCAAGTGTTTCACCAAGGCCAAGGGCTGCTGGCCAGCAGGACGGGCTGTCACGGCGAAAAGCCCCACTTCTGAGTGAGGGTGGAGGCACCAACTGAGCATTTACAGGCTCCCAGTGCTGCTTCATGGAAAAAATACAGAAAGCTGGGCACCAAAACCAACAGGCTGCTGGCCTCATCATTGCAATTGTTTGTGTGGCTTTCTTGCAATTTTCATCCTTACCAGTGACATGGAAAATCAAAAGCTCATTTTTCACTTCCAGGTCTGTGAGCAGAGAGCCAGGGACCCGTCCAAGCCCCTGGTGCCCGGTGCTGAGAGCTTTCACTGGGAAGTGCCGAGCATTCACACACACACTTTTGAATTACCAAATGTACAACTCAAGTGCAAAATGCACTTAAATGTATTGCATTAATCTCTGCAGAATCTTTCCCTTAATGGGAATGAAGTTATATTTAGAACTTTTATTTATTAGGGTACTTGAAGGCATGACATAAATGAAATACACTATAGTAAATGAATTCTCTTTCAACTCGTTTTTAGGATTTTAGTAATGAAATTCTGATTTTCAGACTGTTAAAGTTGGGCACCTCAAATCCATTAAAATCACACGCAGCAGAGGCATTTGAGGCACAAACATTGTTATATTAATGAGCTACATTAATTTTGATGGAGCCATGCTATTTCACCCAGATGAGAACCGGCTCATTTATTATAATTATTTTTAGTTTGTAGCACCTGGGAACTCCATTATGTTTAGGCACTTTCCAAACAATTTACTTGCTAGGTCAAATTTCTTTCTTTCTTTTTTTTTTTTTTTTCTTTTTATTCTTTGTTAATGTGCTTAACCCCATCTCTGGGCAGCTCAGTGGGTAGGAGGCTTCTTGGGCAGCCAAAGGGACTCTGCAAGAGGAGCAGAGCATCGTGGTCAACAGCGGATGAGTTCAAAGCCTGAGCGGGGAAGCAGTTTCAGGCAGGAGGTTTATTTGTTAACTTGCTTAGTAGATTACACAACAGAAGTACACAAAGCACAAACAGAAACCCACAATGTTCCAGACTAGGTTCCTTTAAGATGGAACAACAGATAGGTAAGAAAAACAGGTTGCAATATTGGGCTTGGATTTTTAAAATTACAAACAAAGGAGTCGTCCAGCTCCTGTCTCAGAAAGTCCTGTTAAAACCACCAAGAGTTCCACGGCAACTTTCTGTAATTATGTGTAATTGAGAACTCTGCATTCCCAGGCTGTGTTTTCTAGATGCAATTGAAGAAATTTATCAGTATGTGCCCTTTTTCTTTCTCCTTTTTTTTTTCTTTCTTTTTCAGGGAGCTGCCTGTCAGTTTTCTGCAGGGTTTCATGGCTATTTCCCAGAACAGTTGCCAGGGGCCCCAGCCATGTACCTTACTGCCTGCACCAGTACCATGTACCTTACTGCTACACAAAAATCCCGATTTGCATTTTTACATCTTTAAGTTGTCAGAAGTATTTAAAACAAACAAAAAAAAAAATCCAAAAGACTAAGCTACCTACCAAAAAAAGCCACCAGCTCTTTTCCAGGATTTTTTTTTTTTCATGCAAGAACCATGGCACTAGTTCCGTGCACTTACACCCTGCTTATACCATGACTTTCTGTGGGGCAGCTCATCCCCACGTGGGGTGCCCTGGGACTTGGCGTGGCCCTGCTGTGTGAGCCTGCGCTGCCTCAGAAGACAAAGTCATCCAGGGCACTGCAGGAGAGATCTTCGTCGAAGCTGACGAGCTCCGTCTCTGTCTCGCTGGTGCAGGTGCGTGCTCTCTGAAAAGCAAGCGGAGATTTAGGTGGCGAACTGCAGGCAAGCAGAGGTTATCAACTGACTCCGTTAGCTAAGTGAGCTCACATTTTCTAGCTGCAGTGTTGATATTTGCTATTTTTCATGTTCTTATGTGTGATACCCTAAGTCATATTATTTTACAGCAACGACTTTAATTAAAAACAAACATTATACTATAATCTTTTAAGCCTGTTTCCTTGACCAGACCATGGAATAATAACCATGCCCAGAAAATCAAACCAGTATTCTGAGGGGACAAATTAAAATCAAGTTACTGAGCAGCACTTCCCTTGAGCAGACAATGAGGAGTTTTATCTTATCTGTAAGGCAAATGTATTTACCAGGAAGTGACAGCAAGCATAATAAGGCTTAAAACCAGCTTAGCGGTAGGACCCAAGCATTTCTCACTGTTAGGTTTCACAGAATAAATCAGCTCTCCAGGAGCCAAGCTGCAGTCCCTGCCAAGGCAGGGCTCTGCCTGGCCGGGCTCCTGCAAGGAGCAGCTCCAGCGGCTTTCTGTGCAGAAGGCAGAGCCACAGGTACAGCACCCTGTGGCTGAAATGCCCTGCATGACAGAAACCAGACAGCAGCACTTAATCCTTCCCCAGCCCAGTGCTCTGGAATAGGCCTTTCCCCTTTGGGCTTATTTTCATTTGTTTTTTATCCTCCACAAACAAGGTCAAACCAAGGGCTACTGCAGGCTGGGATCTGTGGTGCTCTGGCCCCCTGGCAGAGGAGGTGGTCCCAAAGCCGGGTGGGCTCTGACCCTACACACACAGCTTCCCAAATGGCTAAATGTGAGGGCTGACTCCATGGGACACCATAGGTAAGGCAACGCATGGCGTTACACTAGCTGCACCCACCTATTTCCCATTTGGCAGGTTTTGCACAACACATTTGGCAACTGAGCCCACATTCAATGCTGACATTAGAAATTCTAAGAGGTCAAAAGGCTGTAACTCAGCAGTAACAGACTGTGCTGATAGTCCTACAGGGAAAGAGCAGCACAAAAGCACAAATGTTCCTTCAATCATTAAAAAAATAAATAAAAATGTTACTTTACCTCATACTCATTTGGAAAGGGATCTCTGAACTTGTTGCTGGGTGTTGGAATTGGTGGAAACAGTTTACGCCATACAAATTTCCTGTGAAAAACAGTGGCAGAGGGCTATGAAAGGACTGCTCTTTCTGATGGATGAAGCATCTGACAAGCAGCGCATTTCTCCCTGAGAAGCCAGGTCCAACCCTGTGAGCCCTCCCACTCCCCTCCTGCATCTGCAGCTGGAAGCAGCAGCACCGGATTCAAAGGGATCAGAGCAGAGAGTAATGGTCCACTGGACACTTCTGGACCCTGGGGACAGGTGGATGACAAAAAGGAGGGGCCCCAACAGCCTGTCCCCTGCAGCTGTAGTGGAGAACCGGGGCGCTGCCGCATCCAGCAAGGCAGTAAGAGCCCCATCTTGGAGAGAAACTAATTGCGCTCATCTCTGCTCACACACAGCTGCTTCCCAAGGGCTGCGCTGTCATGTGCCTTGTTTGGACATACAGGACAGGCTGCCTCTTGCTCAGATCATGGTTTCTGGACATAATCTGCCTCTGCGTCATGGTAGGAGAGCAAGTGCAAATAATTGTGCGCTGAGGGAGCACGGAGGAGGCAAGGAGTGGGGCCAGAGAGGGCTGACAAGTAAACGGTTCCACTTAGCGGGATAATAACTCATCCTGCTAGAACCCTTTGAGACACTCCTGTCCTGCCCGACGCTCTTTAGCCTGGCTAAATGTACCAGGCATAGGTACTTTTGTGATAGCAAGTGCTGCCGAGCAAACGTTTTCTTGGCTTTGACACACCCCAGCGTACAGAGTTTGCATTTCAGTCACTAAAATGCCTTCACTGTCTCTACCTCTGCATAGCATGAGGTTTAAGTAGGGTCAGGTTTTAATGGGAACATGGCCTAACTGGAGATCAGAGGATTTCGCCCAGAATTAGTGTGCGGAGATGCTTTGATGTCCATGAAGCAGAGACGTGGCCCAGGTGTGGATGCCTGGCAGCAGCCCTCCTGCCTCCTTGCTGCTGGGACCGAGGGCAGGGCTGCTCCTGCCCGTGTCACTTGGTGACAATTCTGCCTGGTGCCTGGTTAGCCGAGCGCTTATGTTATTATGACTATTCTTTTGAAAGCTTTCTGATTTCTGTCAAGTTCTCTTTTATCCTGTTATTCCTCCTCAGCAGGGAGTCTAAAATAAATTCCTGCTGCTCTCTTACTCTTTTCCATAGCTTTCATTCTGAGATAGAAAAAAAAAAATCCTCATCTCTCTCCCTCTCTCCCACACCCTCCCCGTGCAAGAGTTTCTTCAAAGTATTTTCTGACTATCGGTTTAGAGCTAAAACTTCCTGGCTGAGCTGCTGCTGCCTCGAAGGAGACATTGCTGCATAACTAATTACTTGGTGAAGGGAAGGGACGTACCGCTGCTGGCACAACAGAAGACCTGACCAAGCAAACTATGGGACGTCTCCCCATTGCTGCACATGGACCGGGGTCTATGAAGGGGGTGTGAAGCCAGAACCTAGACTATGGAGAGGAAAAGCAGTGTGTAGGTACTCCATGGCTCCTCACTCCATCGCAATTCCCCAGCCTTCCAGGGGCCAGGCCCCAGAGGCCTTATGGTTTCACCTCTGTCCTGGTTTCCAATTCCAGACAGACCCTGGGTTCAGCTTCAGACTCCAACAAGAGCAGCTAATCCAGGGTCAAAATCAAGGCCTCTCTTCTTGACCATGGGAAGGTTTTGTGTAGAGAAAGCCAATAATCTACTTTGCTACTACTGTGCAAGTTTAGTTGCCTTGTGACATGATAAAGGCTCATTTTGCTTCCTGAAACCAGGTTTACACTGGGACATGACATTAGATTAGATTAGGATATAGATTAGATAAGGACACATCTAATGTAATCTAAATAATTTATTATGCTCAACAGAAACAGGATTACTTCCTGCAGGGTGGATCTGAAAGGGCCCTTGGTAGCAAGGTGTGCAGCAGGCCTGGCACTTCTGGGGGCATAAGCAAGGGCCTGGTCTGTCCTCTACCTCTTCCCCCCAGCTCCTAGCAGGAACACATTTCTAGTTGTGCTGTTTATCAATGAAAGATTTTGATGGAGCCGTACCAAAATTATTTATTGAGTCACCAAAAAGCGTAAGTTACATGTCACTTAAGGAGAGGTGCACAAACACTCAGCAGAAATGAGGCCGAAGCACACGGGTTCGTGGTGGTTGCAATGCCCCTCAGGTGCAAGAGTCTGCAGTGAGGCGGTGGTGGGGTGCTTACAGTGATGCTCTCAGTATGGTCCTGGTCTTTTTTGGCAGGACACTGAAAAGTCGGAGTTAAGTGATTAAAATATTTTGTCCAAGAAAGTTTTCCCGACATCTGTGTTTGCCTCTATTCGGGTAAGATCATGGCCCTTTCCATCAGCATTTATTTGCACCTTCAGGCTTTAGAAACACTCTACAGGACCCTTGTGGCTTAACTCGGTGTTTCAGCTTTTTCACTCTAGCTATTGTGCTGTCTCTCTTGCTGAAATTTGCCACTTTCCCATGGGCTGTGGCATTAAAAGGCCTAAGATAAACAAAGAGAGATAAGTAAGAGAACATGCTCTTTTTTCCCTCTTCTAACCTCTACAATGAGGCTGATAAAACATTTTTCACAGTATGTTGGAGTGCCTTTTCTAGTGTCTTGCCTCCCCAGAGATTCCTTGTGACATTTTCCAAAGGACTTCCCTGTAGCGGGTGGCTGGTGACTGCTGGTCAGGGACTGGTGTGGCATGCAGAGGAGGGAGGGGAACCTGGTGGAGGGCCGGATGACTGCTCTGATTGCAGGGCACACAGGGCTGCTCACTGGCCTGATTTCAGTTAAGTGGAGAGCAGCTAGGGGCAAGTTGTTAACTACATCCTCCTGTGGGCTCACCTCCAGGAGAAAGTGGTATTCTGAGGCACAGCCTAAGGAGCTACAGAAGATGCTCATTCATGAAGACAGAGGGCAAACTAGGGAAGCATTCGATTGTACTTTTTATCAAGAAAATATTGCCATCAGCTACTGCAACTATCCAAACAGTCCCAGAGGGCTATCTTGCCTTGGGATATTTTTTTCCCAAGCAGTGGTCTTTATTTCCGATGATTGTAGTCACCAAGAATTATACAGAAAAATTTATAGAAGTCTTTGGTGTAATGAAATTCCTTATAATGCCTCCAAATTGTATGAAATTTGAAATGATTCTGTGGCTTGAATTGCATGGTACACTTCATGAATTTTCAACAGCAGTAAAAATGAAAGAGGGTAATAATGAAACTGTGATCTAGGGAACCTGTTCTACTTTTAATATCTGCACATTCAATAAACGTGCAGGCTAAGCACTACGCTTCATCTTTTCGCACTTCCTCCCAGGGTGGGCTGGAGGACTAGAGAAAGGGACAATGGAGTAGAGAAGTGACAAGGTACTGAGTAGGAAACTGCCAGGGATGGACAGAAGAAAGATAGCAAAACCATGAAACAGCAGGCAGATAAAACTTTAATCACTTTGGCAAAGATGGTATGTAATGAGCCTTTGGGTGCTAGAGAATTATACACCAGTCAGGCAGAGAGAAAATCCTAGAAGCTACCAGTGTCAAACATCTGATACTGGAAATGCTAGCTTAAATTTGCCCAGTGGATTAAAGTTCATAAAATGCATTAGTACAGCATCTTCAAGCCAGTCTTTGAGTAGAAATCTATACCAATTTCTTCCCCATCTCTTTTCAAGGGTATTTGCATAATATCCAAATAGTTGCTAAATTCCATGGGACAACAAGGAGCATTATGAGTGCTACTAACTGTTTTTGGACAAAGATGTTTGTGGCTATCCCAAAGAGAGATGAGAGAGCTGATCGAGTTGGTGACAGAGCAGTGGAGGACCTACAGCCATATAGAGAGGTCAGTCCATACAGGTATCTGTGATGTTTGCAAGGGTGGTTTGGAGATATCCACCAACATACTAAGGCTGCTTAAGAACATGTGTATATGAATGCAATATGAATATAAACTCTCTGTATAGTTAATCTTTCTTTTTCCAAATACAATTATTTGTTGAGACCTGCTAGACTAACTAAATTAACTTAAGAACAGGTTATAATGGATATCAGATGCTTTGGGAGAGTTAATAACATTTATTTTAATATAACATTCCTGGAGAGAAGACCTTTCTTTATTTGATAAAAAAGGAAAATAGTCATGGACCTATCAGGATGACCAATAATTTAAAAGGCACTAAAGAAATTAATTAAAATAAGTAGCAGAGTTGAGGACAGCGCCTAAGTTACTGGGAGCTGTGTTTATTGTGGACCTGATAATTGCTGCTTGCTCCATGTTTCAGGGAAGAAGCTTGTAATTACATTGATTCTTTAATTCATCACTTATGACCTGATCAGTCACTGCTACAGAAATCCAATGTAGCTGGGTTTCTTTACAGCACATTTTGGGAAGCTGGGCTATAAAGCATCTGTTTTGGCATCTATAGCCTCTGTAGTATTTAAAAATAAGCTAAACAAATAGTTTAAAAAGCTCATAACAAGCAACAGTTCAATACACTTCCTCCTGATAAGGGGTAAGGAGGAGCAACAAGCTCAAAGGACCAGAATTTCTACATCTTCAGAGCATCTACCACACTCCTTGATGTCACCTGTAATTCAGACCATATGCCTGGGGCCCAGTATTGAGTGTAGTTGTACAGGCTGATGTAGACACGACTGAGAAAATACTGGACTGTACATTTTAGCCATGAAAGACGCTCTTAGCAGTTTCACCAGGGTTAAAGACAGAATCCTCCTGTGGAAACTGTTGACCCAACAATATCCATTTAAGTGAGGAAATGAGATGTGGACAAACAGGTTTTTAAGGAATTCTCCTAACTCAGTATATATATACTTTTTTTTTTTTTCTTAAAATTAAATTGAACAACCCTCTTACCTCTCCAATTTTGCTGAATGTTATTATAAATAATTAATGAGGATGTACTGTAATGTAGTGTAATGAGGATTCGGTACTTTTGCTTTGCATAATTATGCTTGAATACTGAACTTGGTGCCCCTCCTGAAAATTAAGCAAAGCTTTTAATGTCACCCCACACCTGTTCAACACCTACTACTTAGTTACACTGTAATTACAACGAAGTTATTGATACTTACATTTTGCATATTATACCAACAAGCACGATTGTAGCACACATGGACACACAGAGCACAGCCAGAATCCAGGCTATGAAATTCTCCTGTTTGTTTTCTCCTGAGTTTCAAGAAAAAAATAATAATAATATATATAAAACATGCACTTTATCACAGGTTATTTTTAAGCACACTTTTACAAAAGGTTTCATCAGCTGTTTTATATTCAGATCACAGTTTAACACACAAACTATGAAGACCTGCTACCTCTGTTTAAAACTGAAGTGTAGAGCTTCAAGAATAGTTGCCATGAAGCTGACTTTTTGATTTCATCAATACATTTCTTTCATTTTATTGCCACCAAGCCGAGAAGCATGAAGTGCCTGCTCTGCCAGTACCACCAGGATGCCAGGCTGCTTTACACCGCACCCTGGGATGCACCACGCCGTGCTGTATTCGCATGGCTGGTACCCAGCAGAGGCACTGCTTGCTTATAACCTCAGGCACAACCTGTTTGTTCTCCATTAAACCCTTCTTCATTTCTGTTAATTCTCTCTAGCCAACAACTACACTTCTCTGACTTTGTTAACTTCCCTGCAAAAAAAAGATGTTGAAACACCCAATTTTTCTTGTGAGCTGTTGCTGCTACATTTCCTCAGGGAGAATTTCTCTACTGCCTCTGCCTGGGAGCAGACAGGTATTTCTATCAAGGTCAACGTTTCCATTTTAAAAAGGCATGCTTAGTGACCATGACCATTATTTTGTGCCATATTATGCCATATAACAAAAGCATTTACATTGAACTGCATTTTCAAAAGGTTGCTGAGTCCGTGTGTGCTTCCGATAACTACCTGTCCCATGCATCAGGATGTCAGCTCTGCCATTACCAGGTAATTGAGAGGACATGAATCGGCCAGCAGCAGGCCTGATGGGTTTATTGGTGCTGCAGACAAAACAATATTCAATTTTGGCCTAATTTCTTTCAGAGAAACAGGGAGCTGAGCCTGCCATCTCCACCAGAGGCTGCAGCAGCACAGCAGGCCCCACGACCAGGGCAATGTCACAAGCATGCCTACGTGGATCCATCCTGGGCCTTTGTACCGCTGTGGCAGTGGTATACAGTCAGTCTTTCAACAACAAGCATGGTAGGATGGCTAATTTTCTTTCAAGAAAGTAGGATTTGAGGTGTAACTGTCAACCCAGATGGGTTATTCCCAGTTCCCAGCCAAGCCAGTGTTAAGGCCATCCTGGATATGTTTGAGGCTTTAGTAATTTTTATTGGAAGACTAACTTTCTTTTTATCTTTTTTTTTTTTTTAATCATCCCAGTGGATTTCCCATATTCAGTATTTGCTGAGCATTAGTGGAGGAGTCTGTAACGATGATGTTCCCAGGTTCCCCAGTTATCATCACTCTGCACAACAGAGATGGCTCCAAAAGCACTTGAGCTGCTGTAGAGGTGCCTTCAAATGCTTCAGCTTTGCTGGGAAAGCAGAATCAGGACAGCACAAATGTGCTGCGAGGTATTTCTCTGCCCCAAACTTGACCTATAGATTTTCTTTTAAACTGTGAGTCGTGGCAGTGGCTATTCACAGGTACCTACCATCTCACAGATTTGATGTCATGCATAGTTAATAAGGCCGGCCGGCCTACTCAGCTGCATTAATGATTTCTGTATCTAGCTTTGTCTGACTGTAGTGCTTCCAACCAACCTCTCAGAGACAGATGGCATCAAGATCCACTTTCACAATGCTCTTTTTGGCAGTATATGGCTGCACTGAATCTGGTTTGATCACCACAGCTCAAGGAAAGGAAGCAGAATTATATTTCAATTTTTAGCAAAGTCAGAAGACTGCTGCTACAGGAAAAAGTATAGTAAACAGGAGAGAGTAAGGGACTACTTTCTTTTTTTTTTTTTTTTTTTTCTTTTTGTGAAAACCAGGAAGTGAAGAAACTCAAAAGATAACAGCAAAGCAGGATGTCTATGAACAAACAGTCGATAACGTGCCATGATAAGAAAACTGCTATTTCCAGAAAAGAAAAAGAAAAAAAAAAAAGCCGTGTTCAGCAAGCAGAAAATACAGAACAAAGTGGGGCAAATTATTATGTTCCAAAGATGCTAAAATCATGCTGTTTTTGTTTTGTTTTTTGTTGTGGTTTTGGTTTTGTTTTCATTTTTCTATTTTATTTTTTTTTAAGATAGCTCTATTAAAGTAGTAATTGACATGACCACTCATATTAACTTCCAGCATGAGTATCATGGTGCATGCCAGGGAAATATATGTGAAAACTAAAGAAGTAATGTAATTAAAAGGCCTTAGCTAGAACTTGGGCCTTAAGCTAGTCTAAAGTAGATGTAGACTCTGAAAACATAAGCATATACAAACAACAAACTGTTTAAAAAAATAATAATAATCTACATGTTCAAAAGTTGGGGGGATATTTTTTATTTCTAATGTATTAATTACTACAATGTATTGGTTTTTTTTTACAAGACAAGGGCATATCATTCTTACCAACATAAAGAATTTCACTCCAGTCACTCCAAAATCCTCTTCTACAACATATATGATGGTTAGCTCTTATTTGTATGGAATACTTGCACGTAACGTCAATCCTTAATCTGAATTCATTTGAGTATATGTTCCATATCTGTTAGAAAAACAATATCATACTGTTGTAGATTACTTATGGCTAGGCAACTCAGGCAAAAAAAAAAAAATCTTTTTCATCTTTTTATTTTAAAAAAGATCTTTACTAAACTAAGAGTGAGCATCAGGCCTTGCTTTTGAAGAAATAACTCTATTTGTAAGTGTAATTTCTCTCCTAATACACCCATGTCTTAGGGCAAAGTTTTTGAAAGATGCTTCATTTTGGATTCTTCCTTAAGACGCTTCATGCTGGAGTTTCAGAATTTTCCACCTTCATCCTGTTAAAGCTAGATGCAATAAAACTTTCCTTTTTGTCCTTCAGTTTTCCAAGCTGTCTTGGAAATAGTTTGTTGTAGACATAAATGATGTCCAAAAGAAGAATTAAAATGTGCAAACTGATGAGACTTTGGCTTTGTTGAACCAAAGTCACAAATGGGACACGAGTTTCACCAATAATCCATAGTTTCAAAAAATGCACTGATGCAGGTTTTATTTAAAATTATTTTAAATTTGTACCATATCCGAGGCTTTTTTCCAAGGCTGCATAAAGGCAACTTCTAGCTATTGAGGACACTCAGCTCAGAGGAGGGATCATGACGTAATATTTGGGCACCAGAAAAGCAATTACCTGCTCGTTACCTGTCTTCAGGTTGATGAGGTAAAATTCATATTCAAAACACTCTTTAGAGAAAGGAGAAATTGGCTTCTCCCATGTGGCCAGGAGATCATTTTGCTCTAAGAATACAGAGACATTTCTGGGAACATTCACTTTTTCTACAAAAAGAAAATCATACCAGTTATTTATAGAGCAAAGCTAAAATTCTAACAATTGGAGCAGTTTAGAACTTGATAGTGTTTCCAAGTAGGACCTATAATCCTTGAATTTATTTCACATTTTTGGGGAAAAAAAAAAAAAAAAAGGATTTGGGAGGAATAACTATATTACAGAAAATAATTAAGGGAAAACAGTTTAAAAATCCAGTTAAAAGCTTTCAAAAAGTAGATTATTGGGGGGGGGAGGTATTTATTAAATTATTTTTCACAAATGCATGAAATTAATAATAGACTGTTTAGAAAAAAATCTTTTTATTAAAAATAAAAAGAAAATGCAGCAAGGGAAGTTGCTGAAAATGGGGGAAAAATCATAGAAATGGATCGGCAACTATTATGAGGCTGATTTCTAAAAAGAAACGATGTCAAATGTTTTATATGTTAATAAAGCTATGAGAAAGGGAAATGTTACATGTGTACAAAAAAAGTGAAAGGCATGGAACTAATGATGAAGGAAAATAAATTCCTTGGGTTGAAGAGACTGATGGCTAACGCCTTTTATTCTATAGTCTAATGCCTTTCTTTAAGACATGGTTATCCTGAACGTTGTGTTCCTTTTAAAGAACAGATGTAAAACAAAAGGTAGTAAAAACTACTTGAAGGTATATTAATTAACTCAATAGAAAATGTATATTTAAATAATCCTTAGGCTACAGAATATTAATTCTCTTTCTAGTTTTTCTTTCAATTTTTGTCATTCTATAACAAATTATTAAAATCTAAGTTAGTTGAAGCCATCAGTTTCTGTCTCATCCTCCCTTCCAGTTTCATTGACATCCACGCAAAACCAGCACATGCTTTCACCTGCATCAAGGACAATTCAGTTCACTAGTATTAATTTACAAATCTTTTGACAACCCTGCTAGACATTTACTTTTTTTTTTTTAATGCATTTCTACTCACCAATGGCATTTTGGTTAAATAATTGCTGAAAAGGTCTGATTGCAGCATACTTGCTAGACCCATTAATATGTATTACAATGAGTTTGTCGATCTCATCAGGAATAATATGAGTCACTGAAAATCTGCACTCTATATTCCTGTTCCACTTGTCTTTGATATAATCTTGACATTCTTCAGTGCAGGTCTCATACCTAAATTAAAACATTTGTGATAAATGATGTTCTTAAAGAAATTTGTTGCTGAGTAAATTGGGAGAAGACACCAACCTGTAAAATAGAAAGTACTTGGTATCTTCTGGGGCCCCTTTGCCAGGAAGCCAAGTGCAGTGGAGAGAAACGGTACTAAAAATGGTGAATTGAGTAGCACAGGACAAATTAGTGACAGCTGTATTTGCAGCACCTATAGAATCACAGAATTATAAAACAGAAAAACAAGAAAAATAACTAATTACAGAAGTTGTAAGAAAATTGTGTTTCTAAGACACTGGTTAAACTCTTTGGTATGTTTTATCTATGTTGTATATTTTCTTTGTGTTTTATATATCACACGATTCTATCAGCAATGGAAGGATGAATATTCCTAGCCACTGTAAGTAAAGCTATACCACACAGCATTACATATTTCACATACACCTTGTAATTCACGGCAATATCATATTTCATTATCATAAAACGTATGAAAGTAGGTTATCTTTGCCTTAGCAAGGACTTTTTAGAAACTTTTTGTATGAGTTATTCATGTTGTGCCTCTCCAGATTATATTCCAGGCTTCACAGCTGTAGAGAAAGGCCTGGACTAAATAGTTGGGTAAAACCAACATAGCAGGTATAGGGGAAAATGCCATTTAGTATTAAACCTGTCACCTTTTGATGTCTAGTCCACAGACGAGTACAGAACACAAACTTCAGACCTCCCTCACGTTTCTTCTTACCTGGTGGAGGCTGGAGTTCTGCTGTCACCCAGTCACTTGTCATCTGAAGGCCATTATGGAAAAGTAATGTCCGAATGTGTGCAGAGAAACCATTGTGAAGTACAGCTGTTTGGAAACTGTGAGTCTTCTTTGTATCATACTATAATAATAATAATAATAATAATAATAATAATAATAATAATAATAATAATAATAATAATAATAATAATAATAATAAAGCAACACATGATGGAAGCTGAATTAAGGGACCTGCAAAGAGTGATCTTCTACAAAGGGTGGGCCTTTAGCAACTGCCTCACTATATGGTTACTTGAAACCTTGAAGGCAGTGTGTACCTGCTCATCGCTTAGCTTGGCCCCGGCCATCCTGTGCTTCCACAGCAGCAGTCCCGTAGATGGTGACTCACAGCAAAGCCTTAAATTAGTTGCTTTAAATAGCCCACAGGAGCAAACCAGCCATCTAGTGTCAGGAGCAGAGGCAAACCAGCTAGCTAGCTGAGCTCGTTATATTAAATGTATAAAGCTAGACAGCACAAATAACCCACACAAGTGTTTAAAGTTTCTCAGTCAAGACAACAGGACCCTTATCTTACCTAAATTTGCCTATAATGCATAGCTGTGGCAAAACACAGTCTAACATTTTAATGATAACCTAGCATTAATCTGAATTAAATAAGCTGACTGGAATGGGGAGCAGTATCACGTAAACCCAGTCTACAGCTTTCCCTTCGAGATGAATGCTGCAGAAACTGCCAATTCCCTGGGCAATTCCTAACCCTTGTCCCAGCAGAACTGTACCCATAAGCACAGATGAAAGCACAGTGCTCAAAGTACTAGTTTATGGTGGAAGAGAGTAAGTGACTCAATATGTCAATCATTCAAGAGACATATCACACATACTGCACTCTGATTTGCTGCCATAACAGGAATTCAGACTTCTTAGGTTACTGGACTTAATTTTACCTCTTCAGACACAGGAGCTAAGATTTTCACATCATATCTAATAGTGTAGTTTTTTTGTTCTTGATTGGGGTTTGGCTTCCAGCGTAGAAGTACTCGAGCTAATGCGGAGACCGTAAGGGTAAAGTTAACAGGTGGGAAAACCTGAACTGTAAGGAAGAAAACAAAAATATTCACAATGCAATAATCCAGTGCATTGTTTAGACCACTAGCTATTTATAACTAAAGGGTAGTAGAAGAAAACCATAACAGATTTTATTTCAATATTGTATTCTCTCAACAGCTTCTAACAAAATGTTTCTAATATTTGAAAAGTATCTCTAAGTAACACCCAAAACTTCATCAAATAAGAGTCTACTTAAAACTTAGCTTAAAAAATGACTTTTTACAACAGTTTCAACTTGTAAATCACAATGACATATTGCATTTCGCTTATTAATTAGTTTCAGGTTTTTCAATCTTGATCCTGACAGCTACATAGGCGCTGGGCATCCATACTGAATGGGGCCGATCAAGTGATCAGCCGTGTGATCAATTCTCACCCACACAGGCTGGCAGAACAGCATGACGTGGGGGCTTTCTAAGTGAAGGCTGACAGCCACAAGAAGTCATACACGAGAGAAACAAAAGTATGATGAACAGAGGAATTAAGCACAAATGGAAGAAAACATAGAAGGATGGGAATGATAATTTAAAATGACAGGGCAAGAGGGATTCCTGGAGCTCTTATGGAAATGAAGGTCTCATGCTGGGGGAAAATGTTAGCATATAAATAGCAACACAGTGAAATAATCAATCTACTCCCCTCCATTTCTAGAGTTCTTCAGAGCCCGTCCTCCCTTATTTGCCATCTCTCAGGCAGCTTTTAATGCCCATTTGTTCCATTTTCAAACAAGTGCCTCGCATTAGAAAAACTGCCTCATAAAGAGTCAGAAAACCCCGACACAAACTTCCTTGAACTGCTTTCTTTAAAATGTTCCTTGTTGAGTTGTCCACAAAAAAAGGTCAACATTAAGGTTCTTGGTATACCAGGACTGCTGCCAATGATGCTTTATGTCATCAAGTTTCTGCAGCTAAGTCTAGTTTTATTCCTGGAAGTAAAATTGCAGTCCTGAACAACGCTGCTGTTCTGCCCAGATTTACATTGTTAAATAAACCAGGCCAGGAGCCACTGTCAGCCTGGAGGCCTGGTGGCACACAGCTTGCACCTACACACCCCGCACACCTCCCCTCACAGCAAAGGCGGTCGGGACTGCCCTTGGGAGCAGTCCTGGGACACCGCCTGGGAGAAATCTCACAGAGATAGGGTAAAATGATCCCAGGAAGCATCTTAACACAGCGTGGACATTTGTGGGCCTCTCCTCAGGGCATGCCATGGCCTGTTTCATTTACATGTAGAACAGCACATTTGACTAACACCTCATGGGGCCTTGGTCACCCCAGTGCTGAAGCACCACGTTGGTAGGAAGGAACACACCTTACCTGCTTTACCTTGAGGTACGTGTAGCTGAACCACGATCATTGTCCAAAGGAGGATCAGACAAACTCTCATCATGCTGGTCATAATGTTTAGACGGTCAAGGATAAAGACTATATCAGTGTACGTGGCTTGCCATCATTTTACATCAAACGCTGAGAGCTAAAAACAAACCCAAGCCCAAGCATTAAGCATACATGTACAAACCATGGAGCACAGTGCTGATATAGCCACATGATCAAAAGGATGAAACTGCATAGACTTTTCTCGTTCCCTTGCAGGAAAATGCATCTTGCTGCAGCTAAATCTAACTTAAGTACCAACCACCACATCTCATTTTGCTCCCTTTGCTTTTGTCAGCCCCCCCTTGAAAAAGCTACTGTTTTCAACACTGTCATGTGTGAATGTTCAGAGCAGCAGTCACGGAGCTACCACATCTCTTCACAGAGAGCAGGAAGTCAGGTACAGGTATATTGGCTTTCAGTGGAGTCCCCTTTACTCCAAGAACAGAAATATCTATATTTTTAGCTGCCACTAGATATAAAATGACTACTTACTCAAATGTACTTTCCAGTTTCTGTTTCAATAACGCTCACTAAAGAAGCTGTCTCGGTGCTCACCTCAAGGCTAATTCTCCAGTGTTAATTATGGGGTGTAAGAGAAACGATTTTGTTTGTTTCTAATTTAAATGAACGACTATTTTTAATGCTTAAAAACAGCATGTTCTTATGCTTCCTACAGATTGTTTCATGAAGTACTGGGGGGAAAAATCTGTGTCTTATCATTCATGTATAACCTAATATAAACAACATGGAAATACAGAACAGCAGCTTTCCAAAATGTTCTTACTGAAGAGAAATACGCCCTCCCAGCCCAATCATACTGCTTCCCTGGGGCATCTATAGCAATTTCTTGTGTGGAAAACATAATATTTTCAGATGGTAATGAGCAGAGAAAGCATCTTTAACCCATCAGTTCTCAGTGAACCTCCAATAAATAACCCAGAGACTGGAAGCAATCCAATTGATCACAGTTGGAGTACTTCTGCTATGCAGTAACTATTTTTAAAAATGGTGTATGAATGCTTAGTTCATTAAAATGATGCATAATCCACAATACAGTGTGTTTCTTAATGTCCAAGTCCACTCATTATCTATATTCGTATTCCGTATGTATCTAGTATTCTGCTAGCCAAAATGTGCACGAGGCTAATTGAACCTCTGGAGTTTTCTAACGGATTATTCCTGGAGAGTCAGGGCTTGCTTTTATGTAAGATGGGTTATTGAAAGACATTTTGGTTATTCCAAAATGTATGTGAATCGCAACCAGGTAATTATTATAGACACCATACATTTATGCTTACACAATGCCACTAAGACTCGATCACACTACCATTCATAAAAAGTCTGTTCTTTTTGGATTGTAACTTTTGGATGTACTTTTTTTTTTTTTTTTTTTTTAAAGCAATCACTTCAGTACACTATTAAAAAAAATCTTTAGAAAGCTTCATGTTTTACAACTGCTTAGGATTCACATCTACTAATTTGAGTAATCTCAGTACGTTGGTTTCAGGATGGCTCTGACATTCAGCACAATTAAAAACCTGACACTCTCCTTCCTTTGCTTATATTGGCTTCAGTTGCCTAAACGTTTTCTACTTTGCCCTCAAAAAGTAAGTATTCTGATTCTTCTTAGGCACATTCTTTTCCTTGTTCTTTTGAAAAGACCCTAAAGATCAACTTTTGATTCAGAAGTACTTTAGCTGTCTAAAAGCATATGATTATTAGGCAGAGATCTAACATTTCCTGGCAAACGGTTGCTAATTTGTAATTTGGTATAAAATATTACTATAATGTAGACTGGATTTTAATAATTATTCTTGTTTTTCTTGTCATTTTATTTTTCTCTACCTTATTTTCAAAAATGTTACTTTTCTTTTTCTTGCTATCAGCCTAACATTGAAATTTAACTTTTGGAAGAGGTATTTCCATAGCTGTGTGAGCTGAGTAAATGAACATCCCACAAAATGTGATAACCTGGGTGTTTCATGTGATAAATTACTGAAAATAAAATCAAAATAAGTAATTTAAGTAAAGAAGTTAACAAGAAATGTACAACAGGATTATGCTCCTCACACAAATTGATATAATAACTTCCCAGGATGAATAAAAGCCTTGATTATATTATGTTTTGGTTATATACAGTAAAAAGTCATAAGCAGAAGGTAAAAGATACGTTCCCTTCACGAAGGGGAATTTATTCCTTCTTAAAGTGCAGTATAAATCTAAACCATAGAAAATAGCCTCTAAAAGGTAATGATTTTCTTTTAGCTGACATATGTTCCACCATCTCAGAGGCAACTGGTCAGAAGCAGATTCCAGATGGATTTCCCAGTATAATGAAAAAATGGCTTTTCAAAGTGGGACCTTTTCAGTCTTCAAACAAAGCACAACAAGGCAAAAAAAAAAACAACAATCTACAACACATATCCCAGAAGGTTACCTGTGGAGTCTCAAAAGTTCCGTGAAGAGCCTGCTCTGTTTGTTCAAACGTCCTCTGGGTCATCTCCCTGTGGGTTTCTTTTATAACTGCTGTCTTTTAAGTACAAATGTGATAGGTACTTCAGAAATGATAGCAGATGATAAGTTAGACAAGCATGCATTGAAAAAGGGAACTACAGATTTAACCACAGGGTGGAAGGCTCTATTCTAGCACACAGTCTTACTTTATTTATTGACGGTTATATACCATAGTCTGATAATTCTCCAATAACTTTGCAAGAGTTAAGCAATGTTTAAACACAGGACTGGAAAGAAATAACCTACAGACAGCTACCTACTGACCACTGCCAATATCCCAAGTTGTTGTTCTCCCTAGAAAATCAAATCCTGATGTTGTCAGAAGACTGTGCATCATCTTGTTCAATGATCCTGCCATGTGGAAACCAGTGGTATTTTGAGAAGTTACCAATATCAGAGCAAGACCAGCTTTCTAAACACCTGCAGAGAGCTGTGATCCATGGGTTTGGATAACAGGCTCATAACCAGGACAAGCAGTGGAAACCATCCATGGGGCCTAGAGAAAACCCTACAGAAAGTGCAGCTATTCGTAACCAACTTATAGGAAAGGTGAGAAGGTTAATGACTTATTTTAATTAGAAACCTGGCCTGCAAATAAACTAAATGTGAAGGTGGCAAGCTGGGAGAGGAGAGTGCTTTGGCAGATAATATAAGAATTATTCAAGTTCTTGACAAGTCAGTGAAAATCGGGCACAATTCTGTATGGACAAGCTCTTAGCTACATTTAGGCACTACAAACTGCAAATTACAAGTTATTAATAGTCAATCACTAACTGGTTAGGTATCTGTTCTGCCAAAAAGGACCTGGGGTCCTGGTGGGCCATAAACTGCACAGGAGTAAACAATGTCATGCACTTGTGAGAAAGGTACCCCGGGGCAGCTGAAAGCTAGCATCCTCTGCAAGACACAAGGAAGTAATCTTTCCGCCCTGCACAGCGCTGATAAAGCCTCTGCTCACATGCGCTGTGTCCAGTTCACGTATTGCACTTCAGAAAAACATGGAGCAAACGATGAGAGGTTAGCACACAGCAAAGGAAAAGCCGAAGAACTATCAGCATGGAAACTCCTCAAACCAAGTGAAGGGAAGGCATATGCAAAGTGCAATCTTAGAGCTCATATTAAGGCTTTCACACATTTTCTAAGTCCATTGGGCTGGAACTAGAAGCACAAGATGACAGGTAAAATTCAGGTTAGATATTAGAGAACGTTTTCATTGCTGAGGCGAGGGAGACAAAGGAATAGCAAAGAAACTGTATCACTGGACATCTTTAGACAAACATCAACTGGGAATGAAAGTCAGAATACTACCATGAGGCACAGAGTTTAAGTTAGGCACCCTGTTTTCTACATCTGTATCTCCCTGAGTAAACAGCTAATTTCTGTGTAGAGAGCTCTAACATCTACAGCACAATGTTTCAGCAGAAAGATCATTTCTAAAGGTGAGGCAGGATATTTAACAAAAGAAGTAGTCACAAAGAAAAGGTAAAAAAGGTTATGTTTTTACCTTCTTACATGGGCCTATGTTATTGTAAACCTGAGATGTTTTTTGGAATAGGTCATTCCCCAAAAAAAAACCTTTCATGCTTACAAGCATTCTGATTTCTACAGTGAGGTGCTGATCTGTTAGGTACTTGAAAGGCTGGACAGATCTGCGCAACGTCTCCTTTCAGGTACAAACCTGTAGCAATCTTTGCCTAGACAGAGATTTATTCAGGCTTGAAACTTCAAAGTGAACCAAGCTCCCAATTTAACTAGTATTTGGGGGAGCTCCTCCAGGCTCCCCTCCCTCAAATCTCTCAGGCTCCGTGAGCTGCCTCTTGGCCATAAGTGGGGCCAAGAGGAGTGAGGAGAGCTGCTGCTCTGCCCTGTCCTGGGGAGGTGCGCTCGGCCAAGCATTAAAATGGCACTGGTGAAGAGGGAACGACAGATTGAAGAGGGAACGACAGATACCCAGAGCTGTACCAAATCCCCAGGACTCTCATATTGTCTATACATTTCTACACTTTAAAGATGGAAATCAATCCAGGAGTTGTTACTGGAAATAGTTCAGCAACCACCAAGCTTAACGCTGCTTTGGTGATTGCTGAAGTGATCTCACAAGTGGTGCATTGGCTATAAACCCTGTGTGAGCAATGAACCCATTTCTTTGGTTGTGGCTGCACCGTTATCAAAATAATGTTTATTTTTGTCCCATTTGTAACCCTTCTCTAGGCTGAAACGAAGCCACGGTAAATCTGTTTTGTAGTGTTTCTCTTGTAATTCCCTTTTTTCATGCTTTATTTCTTGGCAGGACAAATGTTCACCAGCATTCCCATACATTCATAGCCGTAGCTATGAGGTCGGCATGACCAGCCCTGCTGTCCCCTGGAGAGCAGCAATCTGCCAGAGGCCTGAACACCACTGCCTCGTTGCTCAGTGGAAGCACGTTCTTCACTGTGCCCCCAAACACAGGATGAACGAGCACTGGTATCCCCTCCAGATGACCGCAGCTGATGGACGAGGTGTGTCGGTGGGCCTCTGAAGGCTTCACCACATTATGCCACGGGAGTAAAGCGTGCCAAGCCCTTCCCATCCTGCGACTCAGGCAACCCGTGCTCCCCGTGCCAGCTCGGACCAGCTCTCTCCAAGAGACTTCACCAATGCTGTTATTTCAGAGGAAAGCAGGGAGCCACAAAGCACAGGCTCCATCTGCTCTGCCTGTAGGAGGCAGCCTGCCTTGCACGTCTCAAACGTGGAGTGGTTGTGCTTGTCTCAGAAGCGACTAATTATTTTATTACAGAACAAGCGAGGCAGCACCTTAGGAAGTGCTGCCTACACGGGGCCCGACCTAAGGCGTGAATTCAGTGCTTTGCAAGGACTGGTGTGAGCTTCTTTCCACCGCCACCATCCCGCACTGAGGAACCCCGGCAGCAGCAGCGAGGCGGTAACGGGGCCTCGGCCACCGCGGTGGGGCCGGGCTTGGGGCCGCTCCCTGCCCTCGGTACCCGGCGGGGCCGGGCGGCGGCGCTGAGCTCCCGGCGGGGCCAGGCCGCTCGCAGCCGCCGGGCCTAGCGCCGCCGGGCCGGGGGGTGAGGGCCGCGGAGGCTGCGGGGGAGCGAGGGGAGGGCGGCCGTGGCCGATGTGGGCTGAGCGGCTCCTTCTGCCCTGCAGGGCCCGGCTGCGGCTGCTCCCGCCGCGGCGGTGGCGGCGGGGCGAGGCGGGCGCCATGAGGCTGCAGACGCCGCAGTTCCAGGCGCTCTTCACGCCGGGGCTCCGCAGTGTGGCAGGTGGGGGAGCGCCGCGGGGTCGGGCTGGGGGCTGCGGGCTGGGATGGGCTGGGCTGGGATGGATGCGGCACGGAGCTGCTGAAGGCCCCGGTGGGAGCTGTGCGGGCCCGCGCGGCCCTGCCGAGAAGCACCGGGGGGGGCACGGGGTGCAGGTTTGGGGTGCCGGGGTGCAGGTTCGGGGGGCCGGCAGCACCGGGGTCCTTCCCCGTGTGGGTTGCTGAGCCCCCCAGCATCGTGGTGCAGCCCGCTGATGTGCAGCTTGGTGGAAATGCACCAGAAAGGTGTATCAGAAATGACCGGAAAAACACACGTGGGTGCTCAGCTGTGTACCTAATCTGTGCATTTTGCAAAAAAAACAAAACAAAAAAAAAAAAAACAAAAAAAAAAAACAGGTATGTACACACTTGGTAATGCATATTCAGGTGTTTATCCCCACCTCAGTGAACTAAGTCTGTGGCAGGCTGGTTATGGCTGCCCATGTGCTGTGTTTTTTTTATTTTGGATTGTGCCTTACGGCTTTCCTTTCCTTCCCAGAGCTGTTCGAGAAGAAGAACTATGAGCTGAGGATAGCAGGAGGTGCTGTGAGGGATTTGCTGAGCGGAATGACACCACAAGATGTAGATTTTGCCACTACAGCTACACCAGCAGAGATGAAGGAAATGTTCACGTCCGCCGGTGTTCGTCTGATCAATAACAAAGGAGAAAAACATGGAACCATTACTGCCAGGGTTGGTTTATGATTTGACTTGGATCTTCCCTAACTGCTTCGTGTATCAGTTAATATGCAGAGCATCCAATAGTAAACTGGTAGCATGGTCATGCTGTGTCAAAGTGCCACACTAAGAGTTTAAGTGAGAGCCCACTTTAAAGTGTGTAGTGGTTTTTGATTACTTTCTCTTTGTACAGTTCAGTGAATTACAACATTTTAATGCATTTTACCTCTGCATAACCCATTGATGCTGCTGCATCAGTGCTAGAAAAGCTGCCCTGTTCATGCAGAGTAGGGAAGTTGATTGTAGGGTTTTCTGTTCCTGCTCCTGACCTCCCAAGTCTTGCTTTCTCTGCCCTGCTCATACCTGTGCTTCTTATTCCATCTTCTTCAGACTGTCTAGATTTCTGCAGACTGTCTAGAAAATGAATAATGCAAGGATTATTTTCAAGTGTTCATATTTTTTGATTGTCTGCTCTGTGTGGAAGCATGGTATGTGTTTGTGTACAGTTAGTATTCAAGCCAGACACGTGCAAACCAACATGGGGCTTAAAAATGTGTGTTTGTTACATTTATATTCATGATTGTGTTGAAATAACAGTATCTGTGGGATTTTCAGCTCCATGAACAGAATTTTGAAATTACTACTCTTAGAATAGATGTTGTCACCGATGGACGACACGCAGAGGTGGAATTCACCACCGACTGGGAAAAGGATGCTGAAAGGAGGGATCTGACTGTCAATTCCATGTTTTTAGGTAAAATTATTTCAAAGGCAAATATCTAGATATATCACTGCTTTTCAAATTAGGCCAGTAAATTCTCTCAGTCTGTTTCCATTTTGTTCAGTTATATTGCTGTCGGCCAAAAAGTCTGTACAAATATGAGAGATAACACGACAACCCACTCTAATCATACAACTTATCTTCTGCATTTTCAAATGAAAGTGTGTAATTATGGCAGCAATGTTTGTAAATTTCTACTCTTACTTTTTTTTCATCTTCTAGGTTTGGATGGGATGCTGTATGATTTTTTTAATGGATATGAAGACTTAAAAAACAAGAAAATTAGATTTGTAGGAAAGG